ATCGTCGAAATCGACGGTCGAACTGTCATGTGTGTGTGTGTTGTGTGAAGTGGCGGACTGATGGGCTTGGGACGGGCTGAAACAGCACCTTCCACGGCACTCTCACGCAAGTGAGAGACACGCCGTTCAACCCCCGTCGTGTGAAATCCTGGTGTTTGTGTGTGTATGGCGACGCGGGCATGGGCAGTCTACCGTGTCAGCCACCGCGCCCATTCCCCACTGCAGTCTGCTGACCGGCTAGGACAGAGGCTGGAGTGTAGGAATGGGAATGTAGAGTGGGGCCGACGACTCAGGGCACTTTCCTCCTCACTATAAACGAATTTATAAACACGCAAATGCGCGGGTTGCGAATTGCACATGCGAAACCCTATCCAACCATTCCTCTCTGCCACCAAACAGTAGTTTTAAATGCTAAGCGGTACACCGAGCCTGGTGCCAGTCGTCAAGTGTCTGACAACTAGTTTGTGATTGATGTTCGACCAACGCAGATTCGATCGCAGCCCGTGAGCGTAGATTCCGCCATGTGGCCGAATGTGTGCAGGGGCGCCCCTAGATGATATTTTGTTGTTTTTGAAAATAGATTTTCATTGGAATTATTAAAAATTTGCAGGCTGCGGGTATAGATCATGAAACACGGCGGAGACTTTCACAGCACCAGGCGGTTCATGTGATGTCAGCAACGACTTGACATCTTGGAGCTGGTCGTCCAAGAAACCATTCAAATCTCTCGCAAACATCGCTGTGGCTGCAAACATTCGTCTACAAGCTTCTGCGTTTCTTGATATTCCTTCTATTCCCCCAGCCTCCAAATCTCTGTTGAGTTGGTGAAAATCCTGGTTATTTGTTGTGTGGACCAGCGGGTGTGTTGGAACTCCAAGGTGAGGATCCGTCCGAGCCATCCACCTGTGGCCTCCCCCGTCTCCGTTCTTCTTGACTCTGTCTTGACACCCGGCCCAGGCGGGGGAGGAGGAGAGTGTGTAGGTAGATGCTACGCAAGTCTACTGGCACTATAAACCCGTGCGCAAGTCACCGTCCCTGCGCCCACCTGCTGTGGGGCACACGGTGGACATCATCGAAATCGATGGTCGAACTGTCGTGTGTGTGTGTGTGTGTGTGTGTGTGTGCGTGTGTGTGTGTGTGTGTGTGTGTGTGTGTGTCAGGAGGCGTCAAGGGATGACGCAATATTCCTTGTGGGACTGCAGTGTAGATCGAGATCCCCTCCGCTTTTAATCCGTAATTCTAATGTTAATCGGTGCATCTATTCTTCTGTGAGCCTTCTTGTGGCTGACACCTGGTTTGTGATTGATGCGCGACGAACGCAGATTCGATCGCAGTCCGTGGACGTAGATTCCGCATGTGGCCGAATGCGGGCAGGGGCGTCCCTAGATGATATTTTGATATTAATGAAAATAGATGGAACCCGTATTGTACTTGAGCATTCAGTGAATTCGAACTTGGCTGGGCATCTTGCACCAATGTTCGGTGGAACAATAATACAGATTGACGAATTCTCATTAAATTAGCCTTGGTCTGGCCTGTTTCGTTGTTAATCACAACTCCATCTTATTTGTTTCACTTTGAATTTAAAACGGCCTCTGACCGCAAATTACCGATATTCACAGTGACTGAATAATAACGCCTTCTTTGTCGGAGGTAAGCATGTAAGTATGAAGAACACTGCGGTTTCTCTTAGGAGCAACTTCGGAGACCGAACCCACTTCCTTTTCAGAACTGGAGCTTCCTTACATGTGTTGTTTTACTGTGAGGAAACTCACTCGACCACTAGGGCCAAAGTAATGTTCACTAGAGGTTTCAAGCTCATTTTCGAACAAGGACAGCAGCAGATTGAAGTTGCGAGCGAACATAGGGTGAAATATGCATAGGCTGAAATTCCTCTAATATCACACGCATATTCTTGATGATAACGTCTGCGCTCTTGCAAATATTCGCTCTTCGTCTGATGATCATTCGAGTAGATATGTCCGAATTGTGACTGGCGGTGACCTAGCCGTATTTTAAGTAATCACACAGCCTTTTGTTTTTATAACCGACTCTGGCATTTCTGACATCGGTAACCGATATTTTTGATGGAAATGTGGACAGAGTCTACTTATGTCTGAATGTCGGACCCACTATTGACATTTCCTGAGTGCACGTTTTCAATTAACGCCAGACAGACCCCGATCTAGCCCGCGTGTTGGTCCAGCGCATCTAATGCGTGACCGGTCTTAGGTTCACTGCCATTGTTCAGTGACGTACACACGCAACGATTGCGCACGCCACTGACTATCTGCTGCCAAGGTCATCTGGGGGCGCTTCTACTCGCATTCAGCGTTCGGTCATCTGGCGAAATCTGTTAGCTGCGTCATCCATCGAGCGCGATCGATTTTCTCTCGTCAGGCGCGCAGGCCACCTCACGGTCCAGGGACCACCAACTCGAGGTGCGCCCCTGATAACTGAATGTACACCTGGTACGCAACAAGAAGCAGGGCCTTCCCCCGTAGATAGTGCCGACTCAGTTAATCGTATCTCTGGTTGCAACTAAATCACAAGCCAGGGTTAGGTTTGAACATGCGGTTTCTTAAATACCCTTGACATCATTCATATAAGCTCTTCGTGCTCGGTGAAATCTTTGCTAAACATAGATCCCGAGACAGCCCACCCTCTAAATGTTTTTCAGAGGAAGAAACGGATCAGTTGCTGCTACGGAGACAGACAGCGTACCT